GTTGAGTGTTTTGAGAATCAAGTCTCAGATGAACACAGTAATTGAAGAATCCATTTTGAATAAAATAAGGAAATTAAACAGATTATTGTTATTATCTTTAATAGAAAAATGTTCCTGGAGAAAGGTTAGCTTGACAAATATAAAGAGATGGAAGAAACCTTATGCTTGGCAAATTCATTAAAGGTGTTTATGAGTTATTCAGATTTAAAGTTATCTTAGCCTCAAAACATCAGTTGTCTCTTACTTCTTAGTGAGAAATGCAATCCTTTTCACTGTGTCTTTGAAAGCTTCTTTTACTTGTTTGTTTCGAAGAGTGTAAATGAATGGATTGAGCATAGGAGCAACTGAAGTAGTGAGTAAACCCACCACCTTATTAAGGGTCACTCCTTCTTCTGCCGAAGGTTTAATGTAGACAAAGATGGAGCTGCCATAGGTCATGGAAACCACAATCATGTGAGAAGAACAGGTAGAGAAAGCCTTTTTCCTTTGTTGAGCAGAAGGGAATTTTAGAATGGTGTTGATGATGTATGTGTAGGAGAGAACCACACCCAGTAAGGTGATAATCAGCGTTAAAACAGCAAAAGCCAAAATAACTTTTTCTATAAGAACTATGTCTGAACAGGATATCAATAAAATAGGATATGTATCACAGCCAAAACTATCAATGATATTTGAGTCACAGAATTCCAGCTGGAGACCCATGCTAAGAGGTGGGATGATAATCAACAAGCCAGCAACCCAACAGAAGAGAATGAGTGAAGTGCAGATCTTGTTGTTCATGATGGTCGTGTAATGCAAGGGCTTACATATGGCCACATAGCGATCATAAGACATGATAGCAAGGAGAAAAAAATCAGTTGCTCCAAAGAGGACACCAAAAAATATTTGACTGGCACAAGCATTATAGGTAATAGTGTTATCTCCAGTTGTCAGGCTGTACAGGAATCTGGGAATACAGACAGTGGTGAATGAGATTTCTAAGAAAGAGAAATTTCGGAGGAAAAAATACATGGGAGTTTTAAGATGGGAATCTAAAAGTGTGAGGGTGATAATTGTCAGGTTCCCAGCTATGCTCAAAAAGTAGGTGAGAAATAAAAATATCAGAAGTGTAATTTGTAATTTTAGGTCATCTGTCACCCCCAGCAGGATGAATGTTGTTACTGTTGTATGATTTCTCATCACCTCCTTTTGTCAAGTCAAGAATGATTGGACCTGAAGAGAGAATTTACACATGAAACAGCAAGGAGCATGAATGAAAGGTGCAAGCAGTATTAATGTAGTGCATTTGTATTTGGATTATGGAATTTCACTGGGAATATTTAAATGTGAATCTAAGGCTTCAATTCCCTGATTAAAAACTATATTTATAAAGATGTGAACTGAAAACACAAAGCATTATCATGTATCTTGTTTCATATGCTATTGCTCATTGTCATTGCTTTGGGACACAACTCTCATTAGTGCCAGTATTCAGATGATTCCACTATTTTGACATTTCTTTCTTCTTGCCTCCTATTTCTTTGCTTTTCCCCACGTTACTGAAATGCTCCACTTCTGTAACAGAGGAGAATTTGTCAAGTAGTACTTTATTCTGGTCTCTGATTGTATTTTGACATACACAAGATAACTTCAAAAGGTTACAAAAATTCTTTGCATTTAAAATAATCTGAAATTAGGAACAAAACATTTAAAATACCAAGGTGTACCTTTGTTTTATTTTTCTTATATTTAACAAAATGAAGGCTTTTTTTTTTTTTAACCCATTGAAGTGCTATTTAAGTAGAGAGATTCCAAAATTGTTACAAAAAACATTTTCCTGGAAGCTTAGTACAAACTTGGTTAGTCCTGTTATGGTGCTTTGGGCCCTGGCCAGAGATCAGAGGCGACGGCCTGCAGTCTTGCTCTCTCTACCAGCCTAATCACCCAGGGCGTTCTGCTCAGGAGCACTCAACCTTCAGAACCTGGCTTGGGCATATCTTTGTGACTTCTTTCATCAATTACTACTGGTCCCCTCCTCAAATCATCTTTCCCCACTAATTTACCAACCATCCCTCTAACCCTGCTGTTTATGTTTTCTGAGTTCTCAATATATGTATCTTGTCTAAGCAGCATTCAGGTACAAATTGACAAAATGAACCAATTTTTGATAACAAGTTTCGTAAAACTCACTTTTTCTTTGTCATTTACTATTTGTCAGTTCCTCCTACCAGTTTCAGAAAATATTTCCTTGCACCCTGATATTTTATGCTCTCTCGGGAATCCTATTAGTTAGGAGAGAGGGGGGCTCTGGCAGAACCTGTCCAAGCTTGTCTTCGGTTGATTTACATTGCGAACATCTGCCGTCAAATAACCATACCGCAGAAGATGATCTGGTACATTCTCAGTGGAGATGCCATTAATTGAAAATAACTTAGTATCTTGGCTCATTATTTGTGTTTTTTAATTAGTGGGAGTTGATTGTCATTAAATGAGGAATTTATGCATACACAATTTGCAGAAAAATCCTACCTAATTCTACCCAATGTATTTGCTCCTAATTGTGATTCAAAAATGCTTTGTCTTCGGTACTATTGCTCAATAAGGAATGAACATTCATTCATTGAGATAAATATTTAATGAGCTCCTATTATTTGTAGAGCATAATATCAGAGACTAGAGATCTAACCATGCAGACATGTCTCTGCCAAAGAATTTCAGTCTTCCAATGAGCGAAAATACTTCAGTTTAGTGCATGGTCAATCAGACAAGATAATGGCATAAATGCAGTTTTGGGTTTGGGCAATAACTCCATGCTTTTTCCTTGATAAACACTCTTTGTTATACTGGTTGCAATTCATGTTTTAATATCTTCACTCAGTCTCCAGGATCTTTTCTTTCTACCCAAGTTGGCAGTGTCAGCTGTCACTATGCTAAATTAGCAGTAGCTATTGCATAGGGATCTCAGAAATGGTTATGTTGTTGTTGTTGTTATATGCCGTCAAGTTGTACCCGACTCATAGCAACCCCTCCTTGGGTTTCCGAGGCAGTATCACTATGGAAGTAGATTGCCCATCTTCCTTTCGAGGAGTGGCTGGTGAATTTGAACCGCCAGCCTTCTGGTTAGCAGTCAAGTGCCTTAGGCACTATGCTACCAGAACCGGGTAAACCACCTCAGCTCATGAGAAATATGTTTCACTAGAGAGGTGGTATTTTGCCAATTACTGTGAAGCCACATAGAGAACACTTTGGTAGGCCAAACTGAGGGATAGATTAGTCCTGTTATAACATAACAGGACTAATCATAAATTCCTCATTTAACAATCAATTCCCACTAATTAAAAAAAAGACAAATAATGAGCCAAGATACTAAGTAATTTTTCATCTATTAGACTCATTTCTATACTCCTAATTCTCTTTCCTTTCTTTCATCCTTCCCACTTCCCATGTTACCAACACCATTTACAGTCAAGAAGATTCTATTCTATCTCATAGTGACCCCATTTGTGTCTGAATAGAATTGTACTCCACTGGGTTTTCAATGGCTGATTTTTTTTTTTTTTTTTTTTTACACATAGATCATAGATTTCAGGATTCTTCCTCTGAGGCACCTCTGTGTAGCTTAAAACTCTCAACCTTTTGATTAGCAGTTGAGCACATTAACTATTATATCTTACATCTTTTACTGGGTGTTCACTTTCTTACTGTAGGTCTCCTTCTCCTACAAAGTTCCTAAACTCCCAAATTATCATCTGTTACCACTTTTGACACTTTTGGGAGCTCTGGTAGCATAGTGCCTAAGGCACTTGACTGCGAACCAGAAGGCTGGCGGTTCAAACCCACCAGCCACTCCTCGGAAGGAAGGTTGGGCAATCCTACTTCCGTAGTGATACTGCCTCGGAAACCCAAGGAGGGGTCGCTATGAGTCGGGGCCAACTCGACGGCACATAACAACAACAAATAACAACACCACTTTTGAAAATTCCTTTTTTCTAATTTTGATAGGATTGGCCTGTGAAATAAATTACATTAGCATTTGAATGCCTGTTAATTTAAACTTTTCATATTATTTTATTTTAATCCCTAAACTGGTTCAGTCAACATGACTTTTAATAAGAAGTTAAACTTCTTATTGGTGGAGGACCATTTAGATAAGGTTCTCTGTTTTGCTCTTTGTCTACTTCCAACCATATTATGTTCTCTTTTTGGTTGAATTTCCACAAATTGCTCTGAGAGCTGAGTTTTACTTTTGTTTTGCAAATTGGGATCAATTAAAGTTTGAAACAACAATTTCATTAAGTAAATAATACATTTTACCCCCTTCACATAAATAGTATTTTCAATTAACATCAACAAGTAGCCCTTGAGGACTTAACCTATGCAAAACTACTTCCTGTCACTGTTACTTTGGGGGGTATGAATGATTGAGATCAAGTTTTCTATTTTATTGAATCCCCCTAGTTAGTGAATTCTTTATATGTTTGAGATACCTTGACTTTACTTAGGAACTCTGGTGGTATAGTGCCTAAGGCATATGACTACTAACAAGAAGGCTGGTAGTTCAACCCACCAGCCACTCCTCAGAAGGAAGATTGGGCGATCTACTTCTGTAATGATACCACCTCAGAAACCCAAGGAGCGGTAGCGATGAGTCAGATCCGACTCAACAGCAGTGGGTTTTTGGGTTTAACTTTACTTATATCTGGCACAAACTTCACTGAGTTTTCATTTGAGAGACAGCTTCCAGTGGTATGGAATAGCTGAGATTCAAGAGTTGAATAGCACTTCCCCTCCCACTCCTAACAGTGGAAGAAGGGATTTAAACAACAGGTGGAAAATAAGGTCAGGTTAACTCTAAGGAAAGTTCTAATCCTATATTACTTGATTTCTGTTATGCTAGAGGATATTACTGGGAGGATATGTCTTCTCTGCCCTTCATATTTTGTATCTTAAGTAGTAACAATCTTCTCAAGTGAAATTTATGGGTGATCCTTTCAAAGAATACAGGGACCATGCAGGAAAATTCTAATAACAGATTTATTTAGAATAACAAAATATCAGAAACAACTGCTGACTCCCTTTCTGCAGTGTTGATTATAATTAACTGAAATCCACATTTCTTACCCTTTAGGAGCTCTGGTGGTTTAATGAGCAACACATTTGGCTGCTAACCCAAGGTCAGAGGTTCAAACCCACCAGATGCTCCTCAGAAGGAAGATGATGCAATCTACTTTCCTAAATATTTACAACATTGGAAACACATTAGGGAGCAACTCTCAGTCAGAATCAACTTAATGGCAGTTTTTTTTTTTTTTTTTTAAATGTTTATAGAACATGGGAAGTTATGTCATGACAGTTACATACTTACTTTTCTGACAGTGCTGCATCAGAGGTCCTTGATGGAACCACAATTTGAAGAGCATTA